GTGCATGTGTGTAGGCCCCTTGTGAAAAAAGATCTGGTTTGAGGCCACTTGCTCCCATAGCCAAATGTTTCTAAACACGTCTTCTGCAAAGAGAAATAAATAAGAGTAACAAAACTTGTTCCCAGCAAAGAAAAATAGTGACCAGCTTCAGAAACTGTAAAGCCCTTTCTCTTAGCATCAGTTTGCCTGGAACAAGAAATATAGCTGTAAGCTTAGCTGGCAGCATAATAAATCTCCAGCAACCACAGCTTAGTCTTTCATCTCTACTTTACTTTAGATATACTGAGAAATATCCTTTGAGGAGTGAAGTGTCTCATTCCCTTTAAGTTTTTCACAGTGACAGATTGAAATCCAATATCCCATTTGTCTATTTAGAGCAGGCCACCATATCCATTTATAACAGAATTGTATTGGAGAACCAAAGTGAGAATCCCTTTATATTGTCTTCTGTATCACATGTGAAGTATTTTTTTCTTTATCCTGTTCAAAGGATGTCTGAAAATTGGCACATCTGTGATATCTAGAACTGAAAATTGCCAACAGCACCTTAAATTCTTGTCCACTTTAAAGATGTAAACATTGTTTGCTTTTCATTTCAAAGTAGCTCTTGTCGCTATGGAAAGCCAACTAACAACAGTGATTCTGACGGGCTGTGTTCAGGGTTGAGCATTGTGTGAATCATGGAGACCATGCTTTACCTGTAACTGTGGTTTTTCAAGTCATCATATGGAAGCTTAGCTAAACCGCTCTCCACTGCTCTTTATACTCAACTGCTCCTCAAGGGTTGATATTGGCACTCCCATGTTGCAGCACATAAGGAACTGAGAGGAAGAGTGGGAGACATGCAGCACTGCTTTTTAAACTGTGGGTCCTGACTTCAAATGGGGTCCCCATAGCTCAGTGTTGGGGTCACAAAACATTTGGCAACAGTAAAAGGTTTCTGAGTTTTACCTAGTGTTTTAGACATTTGCACAAATCTGTTAGCAACAATGTGCAGGGTTTATAATGGACTCTGCAGAAAATGCTTCAGCTGTACTCTATAAAAGGAAGAGTAACCTGTTTAGCAAGTCTTGCAAATGCTGATTTATTATCAGTAAGTGTTTGATGTTTCCCCCCTATTTTAAATGCCTATATGCCTGGGCTCATGTAAACATTTCTCAGAGAGAAAGGGGTCCTGAATGAAAAAAAAAAAACCCCAAATAAGCTGTGGTCTACAGGACAGGCTGAAAATAGAGAGAGCTTCTGTACCTTAACGGTCGTGTAGAGAAGGAAATTTCATCAGGTGTTTCTTGTCATGGAACCAGATAGCAAGTAACACCTGTGGAAATTCCTGCTTAACTTAGGTTTAAATATTGCTGCTTACTGTTTAGATTTTGTTCCTGTCTTCTCCCCACTCACCCCAGTTTGTAGCAAGTAACACCTATGGAAATTCCTGCTTAACTTAGGTTTAAATATTGCTACTTACTGTTTAGATTTTGTTCCTGTCTTCTCCCCACTCACCCCAGTTTGTAAAAACTGGTTATGTATTATTCATTTTTGTACTCATTAGCACACGTTAAAAGTATGTGTAGGTTGCATAAGGAAAGAGCTAATATGTAGGCAATACAGCGGAGTTACTGTGAAAAATATTTTTCACACTAGACAATTGATCTTCCAGATTTTTAAGGTTTCTTAATTGTGCATCGTGCACCAGAGAAAAGGCTAGAAAAGTTACAAACATTCAACCTAAAATTACTAAAGAGGCTGCAAAAATGCTCCAAAAAATGAAGGTAATTTTCTAAATATTTACTAAATTCTCCTATTTTGGAACTTATTTTGTGTTTAAACAGCTAGCAGTTTGTTTATCTTAATATTCAGGGTTTAAAAGTGCTCAATACATCACTTTTTGAAACCATACCTTGTTTTTGGGGGGGATCCTCCTCTTGCAGCAGGTCCTTGATTTTTCTGAGTCATTCCAGTGTGTCATCTGACAAGAGTCATTTCAGTGTGTCATCTGAAGGAATCATGAGGATATTCCTTCCAGCTGTGTAGCACATCAGGAAAGTCTGTGTCTGTACCGAACTACTTCCCATGGGCACATTAGACAAACTTTCTTTCAACCCCAGCCCGTACACACACACTTTATTTAAACCAGAGGTGGGAAGCTTGTGGCCCTCAACATATTATTGAGCTATGACCCTGTCATAATTGATGGGAGGTGTGTTCTAAGACATCTGGAAAACCACCTATTTCTAATTTCTAGCTTAAACTATATTAATCATTATAATATATGGTCATACCACTACTTGATTTATAGAAAGAGTCAATTCATAGAATTGCTTATAGAGGATTCCTTAGGTCAGGGACAAGTGGCCTTCCAGATATGGGTATGCTTTTACTCCAGCTGTCCCCCAACACTGTCCTGTAGGGCTGATGGAAACTGAAGTTTAGTATTTGGAGGGCTGTATATCCCCCATCTCTGATCTATATTCACAGAACTTTCTACTGATATATTGAGTCTCCAGGTCAGTACCATTTTTTCCACTATCCAAAATTATTTGTCATTAACAGAGCAATATCTTCAGGACACCCAACTCTTGATTTTCTATTGGGGGCAAGACCCTTATTTTGCACCCCCCAATAGATAAATTTCAGCTTCATTCCTGGACCTTCACCCCACATGAGTGTTCTATATGATATTAATTTATAGTTTGTATTTTAAAGGAACTGGAAACGTCGATAAACACAACACAAATAGAAATAGCAAAGAAAGAAGACAACTCCAGGATACTTGAAACTGAAGCACAAGCAATTCTCAGGCATCTTCAAACATTATCTGGTAATTAGAGGAAAAAAACTTATTTCCTAGGATTATTGCAGTTAAGACACTCCTATAAATATGAATAGAGCAATATTGATTTTATATATGGCATTTCTCTCCTGTGAAAATGACAGTGTATAGCAGTGGTTCTCAGCCTGTGGGCCCCCAGATGTTTTGGCCTTCAACTCCCAGAAATCCTAACAACTGGTAAACTGGCTGGGATTTCTAGGAGTTGTAGGCTAAAACACTTGGGGGCCCACAGGTTGAGAACCAGTGCTGTATAGGAAGCATGTTGTCCTCTCTCTGCGCCATTTCGTACTCACAGCCGATTCTACATAAAAATGACCCAACGGGAATGCCAACTGTAGTTTTAAGTGACACAGTGAAGTGCACAATAAAAGATTTGTAAATTTCAGAGAAAGCTTTGGCTTTCAATAATAGGGAATCATGCAGGTGACTTGTTTAGAAACATATAGTGGAAAAGAATGGAACAAGTATAAATCATGTAAGAGACTCACATTCATAAACCAGCTGATGCCCAAAGACCATTTGCTGGATTAGGAACCACAGGTGCATTACTTTTCATCCACAGCTAAAATTAGCCAATGCCATCAATATTTTTATAATGATATTCATGATCATCTCTATATTAATTTACTGGAGATTGTATTGTCGAAGGCTTTCATGGCTGGAATCACTAGGTTCTTGTAGGTTTTTTCGGGCTATAGGGCCATGTTCTAGAGGCATTTCTCCTGACGTTTCACCTGCATCTATGGCAAGCATCCTCAGAGGTAGTGAGGTCTGTTGGAATTAGGACAATGGGTTTATATATCTGTGGAATGGCTGGGGTGGGGCAAAGAGCTTTTCTCTGCTGGAGCTAGGCGTGAATGTTTCAACTGACCACCTTCATTAGCATTTGAAGGCCTGGCTGAGCCTGGGAAAATCTCTTGCTGAGAGGTGTTAAGATGTGCCTGGTTGTTTCCTCTCTGCTGGAAACAACAGCAAAACAGCAGAGAGGAAACAACCAGGCACATCTTAACACCTTTCAACAGAACATTTTCCCAGGCTCAGCCAGGCCTTCAAATGCTAATGAAGGTGGTCAGCTGAAACATTCACACCTAGCTTCAGCAGAGAGCTCTTTGCCCCACCCAGCCATTCCACAGATATATAAACCCATTGTCCTAATTCCAACAGACCTCACTACCTCTGAGGATGCTTGCCATAGATGCAGGCGAAACGTCAGGAGAAATGCCTCTAGAACATGGCCCTATAGCCCGGAAAAACCTACAAGAACCTTGCTGGAGATTGTTTCCCTAGAAGTACTTTTGGTGAAACAGCAAACTTTATTGTTCTGTTCATAGATAACCCAACACTGTCAAATATGTGTGTGAAATTGAAGGAAGAACAAGAAAAATAGTTACCGTATTTTCATTGCATAGCTTTTTCGGGGGGGGGGGGGGGGGGCAACTATAACACAAGGAAAAACCCTTTTTGTTACAAAACAATAATATCTCAATAAAACGATGTTGAAAACAACTTGAGAACATATCCAGGATTGTCCAGGAAACAATTTTGCATACTGAAGTATTTTAACCTTCCTTGTCCATAGTTCCCGCGCCAGTGGCATTGCTGGCATTATCTGATGCACTGCTCAAAAAAGATGTTTTTTCTCCCCCTTACTTTCCAACAGTGCATCATCTTCTGATCCATCCAGTACATGGGGGTGTGACTATTATGTGATGAAATATGGGGTAGTTCAGATAATCCTGGCTTATGGCTACTTATGCTCTTTCAGGGTTTAGAGAAACTGAAAAGCTAAACACAAATAATCTGTGTGACATAGCAATAATACTGGTTTAATTTGTGGAGATTCATGGTTAGCAAGATACTGCAACCTTCTTGCTGGGTATCTTGCTTGTTTAGCTATTCAGAATACTGTTTATTTTGATTTTATGCATAGGATGGAGATTGGGTGTCACTTCAAAATATCTGTCAGCTTAATCCTTAGCCTGCTTTATCTGGAAATATGTTTTTATGTTCACAAGGGCATCTTTCCTATTAAGGACATTTAGAACGGCAGCCTTAGAAACATTTTTATAATATAACTCAGTTGAGTAGACAGTCTCATAAAGGGAACTGAAGTATGTAAGAAGATAATATAATTTTAAATGTATATAGAGATCCTGCTTTGCAGATACAAATGCTAGAGAAAAGCTGGCACTAATGGAGGATGCTACAAAGCTGAAGAGACTGGCTGACATCAGTACCCAGGAAGTTTCCCATAAAGAAGCAGAACTGCTAAAAATTCAGCGAGAAGTACAGCAGACTATAAATGCAGTGAAGGAAAAAGAGCATGATGTCCAAATTTGGGAATCACAGGTGAGATGTTTCATAAAACGTGTTGAAAGATTTAGCAGGGTGAATTGTTGCCATATTTAGGTAAGTGCCAAGAGATTCAACATTGGGCCAGCTTTCAGCAGTAAAAAATAGAATTGGATGCTTCTGATTAGACTCTTTTTTTGCCAACAGAACCCAGTTACAATATGACTGCTGTATCCACAGGGATTGATGCTTATGGTTTCTTTTACCTGCCTTTGACCAAACATGTCCTTTCTAGGCATTGTCTAGGGACTGTAGTACATTGGGATATCATCTGTTTATATCAGTATGCATCTCATATTTTTTTAGGACTGGATGCATACTGTATTGAGATGGAGTGCATTCTCTCCTCATCACACCTGATTATTATGATTCTAAGGAGCTACGGTGGCACAGTGAGTTAAACCCTTGTGCCAGTTGAACTGCTGACCTGGAGGTCGGTGGTTTGAATCCATGAGACAGTTCCAGCTTCATGTCAGGACATGAGAGAAGCCTCCCACAGGATGGTAACACATCAGGACATCCCCTGGGCAACATCCTTGCAGATGGCCAATTCTGTCATGCCAGAAGCGACTTGCAGTATATTCTCAAACTATATCTATCTATCTATCTATCTATCTGTCTATCTATCTATCTATCTATCTATCTATCTATCTATCTATCTATCTTATGGTTTGAAAATACTGCACCACAGAAGGCTGGCTCCTCCCAATCCATTCAAAACACCCCCTACTTCACTTTATGACCTTTTAAAAAGTATTGTTGCTGATGGGATGCATACAGATTTTCCTATCACACACAAAAACAAGGCTTCGGCAACCGAAGAATCAGTAGTATTTCAAAAAAACATGATTAGAATTCCATCTGCAAATAATCTGTTTTTGCGATGCTCTGCAGACGGATTCCGACGGAATACTGACAGGATGGGGCAAACGTCATGTGATGGGAAATATTCAAAATTATTCCCAAACAGTCTCAGAAATTGAGTATTACCTAATGTGATAAAGTCTCAAGTCTTCCAGCATGACTCTATGATGTGCTTTCACCAGAAGTTGACCATTGGCCCTATCTACAGTGAACATTTAATGCAATTCAAAGCTGCAGTATCTAGATGACACACACCATGAAAGCACATTGCATCACACTTTAAGGACTTTAAATAGGCATAAGCAACATTGGCGGGAAGACCAGAAAAAAGCCTTAATGTGCATCAGCACACTCCAGTGTAAACCACATAATGGCAAAATCAGTTTGAGGCCCAGATGGTGATTACACAAACCACATCAAGGATTTTTGTTGGTGCATTTCTTTAGGAGTTTGTTGTCAGGCAGTTTGAAGATAGCTTCGAACTACATTAAATGGACAGTGTAGAAGATGGGAACATAATAATTTCTACATCCTCCAGCATGACTCTATGATAACGGTTCCACCAGGATTCATGCATGGTTTGGTTGCTTTTGAAAAGGACAAGACCACTTTCTCCTTGATAAGAGCATAGCATGAAATTTGACAAAAATCTGCTCAGAATGCCTGAAGCTACCCTAGAAAGGTATCTTTAAGATGTAACTAAAAATGGTTCAGTCAAGAAACAACATTTTCATTGCATTTTAAACAATTGCACCTTAGCAGGACTCCCTTGGTACGGTAGAACTCGTGCTGGATCCTGGAAAATTGGAAATTAATAATCATGGAAATTAAAATAACATTCCAGCAAAAAACAAAATAGTGATGTAGAGTGAAAGACGGGGCTGCTTTTCTATTTCCGAAAAATCAGCTAGTGCTACATGAATACTGCAGTAGTGTAGTAGCAAATCATGAGAGTGAATGGTTTTCCCAGCTGCTTTTTTCTCCCCTAAGTGCTTGAATTACTGCAGGCAGCAAGGCATCATCTGTGTGCTTCTCTTAATGGAGCATTATACCTAACAGCCTATGGGTACACAGCAGTCACATTCCATAAGGGAAAGTACTGATTCCTTATAGGTAACCATCTTCACACATGTTTTGTTGAAGCAGGTCAAAATGCAATTTCCTCCATCCCACTGCATCCCAGTGCTTATCCAAGGACCACTTTTGATGCAAAAGGAAGTGGGCATCCAGAACCGAGGTTGCAGATGGTTGCCTACAACTATATGTAGGATTCTTTCACTCATTATTTCCTGGTCCTAAACCAGTACCTGTCACCAGTAATGGACTGGATGAGGGCAAATAAGTTGAAACTAAATCCAGACAAGACAGAGGTCAGTCGGAAGGCAGATCAGTGTATGGGATTACAGCCTGTGTTGGATGGGGTTGCATTCCCCCTGAAAACACAGGTTCGCAGTTGGAGGGTGCTCCTGGATGCATTGCTGACCCTGGAACCCCAGGTGTTGGTGGTAGACAGGAGCGCCTTTGCACAATTAAAACTTGTGCGCCAGCTGCACCCGTACTTTGAGATGCCAGACTTTGCCATGGTAGTCCATGCCTTAGTCACATCCTGTCTGGACTACTGCAATGTTCTCTATGTGGGGCTGCCTTTGAAGATAATTTGGAAGCTTCAACTGGTTCAGAGATCACCGTACAGGGAGAGAACCACTCCTCTGTTACAGCAGCTCCACTGACAGCCGGTCTACTACCGGGCTAACTACAAAGTGCTAGTAATTACCTTTAAAGCCCTAAACAGTATGGATCCAGGCTATTTGACCAATCGCATCTCCTCTTACAAACCAACTCAGACCTTGCGGTTTAGTGGAGGAGGCCTTGCTCTCAGTCCCACCTCTGTCTCAAGTACGGCTGGTGGGAACAAGAAAAGGGGCCTTCTCTGTGATTGCTCCCTACCTCTGGAACTCCCTCCCTAAAGAAATAAAGATGCCCCCTCCCTCACCTTCAAAAAACAACCAAAAACTTACTTCTACTCATTAGCATATGAAGAGGAATAAGATTAGATGGTGATACTGTTACTATACCTCTGATTTAAAACTGTTATTTGTTTCCGAGCTCTGTATTCTGTTAGCCCAGTTAACATCTTTGGCAATAATTAACTTTACAAGCCCTAATGAACCTTGTCAGCTCTGGTAAATTGATGCTTCTGTTCAATGTTCTGTTTTATGTTAGATATAATTTATTTCATATGTTATATTTAAATTTAGATTATAATTTGTTTTTATATTTTGAGTTATTTTTGCTATTATGTTGTATTGGTTGTTGTATTTAGGCATTTAGGGCGGATTCCAATGCCCTGAGTCCCTTCGGGGAGCTAGTGTGGAATACAAATGAAGTATTATTATTATTATTATTATTATTATTATTATTTCCGAAAACTGGCAAATAACAAGATTTTTCCAGAAGCAAAATATAGATAGATCTAGCACCTGGAAAATGCAGTATCTTGTAACAGATGTACAGCCTGGGAGGCAGCCATCCGAACTCTGCAGAGCCAATGAATAATGACAATCTGTTTATTGTGCAATAAACCGGTCACGGAAGAGACTCAGAGCAGGACAGTCTCGCTCACTAGAAGAGGCATTAATGATACTTTTCAGAATAGTTACAAAACATGGGGAGAAAGGAATGTCTAGCATTCACTTTTTCAGTGTTTTCAACAGCTTCAGCAGCAGATTCAGCAACACCAAGATATGGAACAGAAACTTACAAAAAGCAGATCAGAATGTATACAGCTGCAGGCATTACTCCATCAGCTAGAAGAGAAATTCCTGACCAGTTTCCAGTCCACTCAACAGCAGATTGCTAAAGAACTTTGGTAGGAATATGAATATTGTCTCCTTTAACTGTCAGAATTCTTGTGTATAAAAATATACAGTACACCTGTAAAGCCGGGAATAACACCCACTGCCTGAAACTTTTAGATACACTTTTAAAATATTAGGGCCAACATTTTCTACATTTCGTACTTAAGCAGTATTTAAAATTATCCACATGTAGTGAAGAAGCGGAAAAATTAAAGCAAGCCCTCAAGGAAAAAGGACTTTCAACTGATGAAGACAAATACTTGCGGAACAAGATGGCAGAAAGTTGTGGGCATCTGACGAGAGAAAATAGTCTCCTCCAGGCTCGAGTGCTAGAAGCCACAAAGCAACTCAATAGAGTAAGTATATCTATCAGATCCTTGCCCTTGGTTTCTATATTGGAAAAAAAAGAAACAGCTACTGGCACATTCCATTACGATTTTTTCAGTTTGTAAATAAGAGTTTTGGTATCATTAACTGTTTGAAAACTACATGTATATATCTCAAAGTATAACATGTTTGAATAATTGGGTTGCGAGTTTTCCAGGCTGTATGGCTATGTTACAGAAGCATTCTCTCCCAACATTTTTCCTGCAACAGGGGAATTCCAGACAAGAAACAATCAGCTAATCATCTCCCAACAAAGAATTCCCCAGGCAGTAAGAAGCCAGACCTTGCAACTGCTAAGCCATTAAAAGCTAATCAAGGTGACCAATTGAAACATTCACACCTACCTCAAACAGACAAAGAGTTTTTTATTTATTTATTTAT